TATTATAAATGATATAAAATGTGTGTATATGGATGTACATGTATAACAAAAATATAAAGGATGAATAATAAAGACGATGAAGAGTGAAATAACAAACCATAGATTAAATAATAAATATAATTACTGCTTACTGGAGACGAAGAGAGCACGTATCGCACAAGAAAGGTGAAAGTCCTCTGGAATTTGTTGAAGACATACACACTGAAGACCGATATATCGACAGAAATGTCTGGGCTATATATGTGTTTATCGTTCATCTCTAAGCAATCTACTAGCCTAGGACAGTGAAGATTGATTTGAAAAATGTTACGTCAATGGAGGTCTCCCAAGTCTCTCAATTTTGGCTATGTCGCATATAAATAAATCTAGATAGGTAGAACAATAAATGTCAATTGAAATAAAGTTGAATAACGAATATGGCCAGAATCCCAATCCCCTGACCCCTTAAAAAATAACATAAATTAATAATCAAGAAAGCGGCAAAAAGCATGCTAAAAAATCAGCAAGATTATAAATCTCATCCTCGTTAAACATTTGCTTGTGACTAACATGCGTCTACCATCTTGTTACCATCGAGCAACCAATAGTGTATTCGTAATATACTATTCGTATATTTGTAGTATCAGTCTCTTAAAAGCGAAAAATATACGACAGTTTAGTAACGATTATGTCACAAGAATCCAGTATGATAATACATATTACACAGGACACCAGATGACGGCATCAAAGCCAAATAAATTTGTGCAGATAAAATTAACGGCGGGAAAGGTATCCGATGAAGTGCTTAGCACGATAAGCTGTAAGGCGCAGGTGCTACTGCAAAAGAACGAGGAAAAATACGTCGGAGATAAGTGGAGTAATTTACGTATGATATGATTACGGATTACAAATGCTAACTGTGGTATTATCATTCTGCCACGAACTGGAATAAGAATTAACGAAGAGGGCGGACTGAGCTATCTAATTTTGATGTTTACCTACTATTATCGTTATACAATATTCGTTATTACTACTGATACTGCGACGGTTGATGGACTCCACTATATACTTATAATTAATGCTATATAAAATCCACTCGTGTACAACCCTACCCCTCTATAGATATTGTATTACACTAGTAACAGAGCGAAATTTAGAGAGCAGAAAACAGTTTGAATGGATGTTAAATTGGATTGGATTAATATTGAACGAAGTGACATCAGAACACGTCTGCATTGTCTGTATACTAAATAAATCCACAGAAAGTTATTTTGCGCTAAAAGCTGTTTAAAGAGAAAAACAGAAATGTTATTTAGCTATATGACCCACGTTGAATCAGGCGGAGAACGTCTGACTGGACTTGATCATTTGAAACCTTATCTATCTCCTTAGATAGCAGAAGATGATGGCTAATAAGAAGTAAAAATGCATTCTCTCCCGTACGTTCGTACATTGTCGAATGACTGTTTCTCGGCGTGGATGCGCCTAGCGATGCGCGGCCTATGTCACAAGGTTACGCAAATATGTGAGTCCTGGCTTCCTGGTCAATGAAATCTAATTACGTGTCAAATTCTATGATGAATATAACGGGAGCGCAAATCGTTAAAGTAGGTCTGCAAATGTGCATGGTCACGCATCGAAGGTAAGAAAATAGGTGGCGTTTTAATGTGGAAAAGCAGCAAATGGGTCACTGGCCACGTTTGCTGTCATGTTCGAAGGTGTCCTATAGAACCGCAAATGTATATTGAACCGAAGGAATATAGTTGGGTGACAGGGTCTCGTTGGATGGCTGAGCTTCGAAGAAATGTTTTATGTGAATAGTTACAGCTGACGGGCTGGGCTTTTTGAGACACATAAGTCGCCTAGACATACAGGAGTAATGAGAACAGATGCCCTCTCTAGGACACAACCACGCAGAAAGACATTTTACACAATGAAAGGCACCAGGCGCAAGTAAACAGCAAAATAAAGGGAAGGCTGCGATCGCTGCAGAGTGCGAGAGAAGCGCGAAATTGAGAGTGAGAGGGCCAACCTCTTGCAATATGGCCGAGCAAATCATGGCTGGGGGACAGAGAGGGTGTTAAAAGACTTATTTTCACTCCCTTGCTGTTCACCTAATACACCATTTGTATATATAGAAAGAAGAAATAATTATATATATATATATATATATATATATATATATATATATATCAAGATCTCTTTATTGTTCTAATAATTCAGTGTCGCCTATGAAAACAAATGGTCACAATAAACGATGTATACATAAATGGGTATTTACGTCATAACACGTTGATCATCTTTATTTTTAATTTAGGGACTATATCATATTTTCTTTTGAGAAATAACAGTTAAAGGAGAAATCAGTACATTTGATTATAACAAATCCATATCCTAATGGCATTACATTTAAGATCAGGTGGTCTACCTGTCATTGCATACAAACAAATGAACTGCATCTTGGATTTCCGCATCGTTTGTATTTTAGGAGCCCCAATATATGAGAATCTGTTTTTTGAGATGTCATCGGACAGAATAAATCATAAGTCATTGCGGTGTGCTCTGCAGGTCTGAATTATTCGTTTGACTTCAATATACAGAAATACAGGCTTGAAATGCATTTTCCTTCAATACTGGGTCTCGAAAGTAATATATAAGTCATAAAACACAACGAGACATAAGAGCATGTTGATCATATTGGACACTATTTGTGCACAATGTGGTTAGAATGTTTACCGCGCCAAATTAGACCCAGTCATACTCTCTTTTCTATCAGAGTTGAAGTGCTACCTGGTCAAACTTTTCAAGTATTCCCACTCCTTAGAAGACTGAAGATTTTTCTAAAATATGGTTACATATAGCCGCACGTACTTGCTGACTATCCAAGTGCATTAACTTAGTTAGAGATTAACCTAATCTCGTGACATTGCTGTGAGGTGAGCCTAAATTGATAACGTAATATGTAGTAATAGTTAACGAAAATAATAATAAACTAAAAACAACTGGAATTAAATTTCACAATATACTATTAATATTTATATCCATCGATAAAACGGAAAAAATAGCAAAAATATAATTAAAAGAAGAACTTAATACAGATCGATTTCAATTCCGTTCAAACCTCAACATATTACAGTTGTTTATTATCTTCATTTGCTTAACTCCCTTTGATTCGTCCGACCTTTTAATAAGTCAACGAGTCGTTTATTCGCCCAGTCTACCTGCTTGCTAGTTCGTATTGCTTCTTTGAGAATATTTACAATACAACTATATACGAATGAATCTATAAATAGAACACTTCCGTAATCGGGCAATCAATTGCTCAGTGCTTTTTTTCATTGCATCGCATTTCATCCTCATGCTATATATGACCCCACTCCGCATTATTTACGGTATTTTCGTTCAATGTCAACAGCAACGATTCAAAACATTAATAGTATCAGCTAGCAGCAACTTTTGAGGCTCTTGTGTTTTTGTGGATTCATAAAACACATTTTTATTTTTGTTTCAAGTACTTTAATAATTAGCTTTTGGTAATTTTATCATGTTTTATTATAAATTGTAAGTTTATCATGACTTTTATTACGCAGGGCTCTATGATTATACCAACAGTAGTTGATTTACAATTTATTGCTTATATGTACACGGCGTCATTCGAATAGGCAGGTACGCGCCACTAAACACACTGGAACCTCTTGCATGCACCCAAATGCATTCGTTCAAAGCTAGTTTACAAAAGCGGTCGCATCCTTTGGCCTACGGTAGCTGGCAACAAGCCGAGTTTTTCAAAGGATAATACTTCATAACGTTATAAAATGTATTACCTACGCACAAAGTCCGTTTCCGATCCTCGCATTATCTATATTAAGCTAAGATAGGTTAACAAAGCTTTGACACCGGCGATGCGGCATTACACCTCGCGGATGAATCTTTTCTAGGTCTCTCTTTTCCGCCTTGTCACAGAAACAACACTATTTATTATTATTAAACGAGTCGATCTCAACATATACTGTAACTCTGTTATAAAATGTGTGATTTCATCGAATCAATACCAGCACCGATTGAAAGACCCATCTGGTTCTGAGACACGTACGCTACTTCAGATCACAAACTAGGTTGTTAATGTCCACTACCGTTGCGACCAAAACTAAATAAACTCCCAACTATATTACTATGCACAACGTCCATTCACCCAATTCAATGTATGCCTTATTCATAGCTCAACGGCATCATGTAACTGCGTTTCCACTTTCATAGAATTCAGACCTATTTCAATTCAATATTCCCCTTTACGAGTAATTAGTTTTATAACAATGTTACGATTCGTTATTGGATACATGATAACTAAATATAAGCCAAGAGTCGAAGCACGCCATCGGTATTATTAGTCAAAAACAACTATCAAAATTGTAGGCTTCCCAGTTTACGTTCGATTGCTTCCATTCGTAGAGATAAGCGAAGACACGCACACACATGCACATATCAATTTAGACGAGCTTTGAGACGGATACTCAAGCACAACACATACATTGGAGGTTCGAGCAAATACTAGCAGAAAAAACAAATCTGCCAGTCCCAACTTTCCTTCGTCTTGTTTTCATGTCATTTTATACAAAAATACTTTTCTTTTTTCTTAGTTTCACTTGTCTTGTTAGTTCTTGAAAAACAACAATATGATAACAACTGCGACTACTTCGGCTACTATGACGATTACTGCTATTGCCTGGGACGCGTTTATGGAGTTGCCGTTCCTTGAAGCTGTCATTCCTGATCGGTTTGGTCCACTTGTCAGATTAAATACGGTTTCCAAACAACTCATAATTTTGCCAACCACCGTCAAAATTACGGCAAGAAACATCAGTAATAGCGTGCGATGTGTAGATATGGCACAGTTTTCTCCCTGTTTGGACCTAAACCTGCGCGAAGGATGTTGAGTCAAATAGGACAAAATTGTATTTTACGTAATCTATCGACGTAACTTTTATCCAGTTTTTTTTTTTGTAAACTGCATTTTCGCGTTTCTCCCAGTCAATACGATGTATAAGCATCACCTAAACGATATATGTACCTGATACGAAAATACACTATAAATGTCACATAACCTATCAAAATATCAAAAAAAACTTCTACAACAACGGGCGGCTGTTTGTACAAATTCGCACACACACGTACATTCAATTAGGCAATGCAAACGCATTCACCCCCTTTCACCGCCTGTAATGGAAAGATGTATGGAGCAGGGCCTACGAATATATCTGCGTCGGAAGTTTTCCGTGATTCACCTATTTCTTCTTCGCTTTAGTACATTTCATCAATATTATCTATGACATTTCGGTCTAACTAAATAACCTCGACATTGATACCCGTCTCCGGGCACAAACGCCCAGTTGTCTACGTACCGTCACGGCACCAAATCCGGCCGCTGGCAACGTTTGAAAAATACGTTACGTTCACTCTAGCTTAGTGGACCTACGGTATGTAGCGTTGATCAATAATTCGGCAATTCTTGCCTCATCGTACGCTAAGTCGCTAGATTTTTCCAGGCCCTAACACGCGATTACGCACGTTGGCAAAAGGAAACTAGATTTCACTCATATAATACATTCTAGATTGATACGTTCCTTCGTGCTTTTGATTGGTACACACGGCTGTTCGGTCTGCGCATGTAAGTGTTACTTCTGAAATTCAAACATCTAGTCAAGACAGTTTTTGCCACCATTATCAACTATTTGTACGCAATAGTAGTAGCTATGTAATTATAGATTCGTCGCAGAGTTTCGATTGTTTTTCACTCAGGGAAAATAAAGATTCCCTAGAAATTTTGTTGTTCATAATCGAGTTGAACGTATCTGCACATATCCTCCGTGCCTATTTTCAAACTGTTCATTTAGGCCAGCTAATTAAAAGGCAAAAATGTCATAACTTTGTGTGCTTGTTCCTTACGGTAGTCTTGCACGAACCTAACCCTATTAATAATAAGGTGACCCCGACATGTATACAGCCATTATTGAAATAGGGCGTGTTTAACCCTACCAGATAGCCACATACGCAACTTTGTCCTCACAAGAAGTACGAAACGTTCTGTGCTACACCTAAGACCCCTAAGTGACACTATAGTAGCAAAAAGAAATTAAGCCATCGGAATCGCAAAATAGTTTTCTATTGACAGCTTTGCACGCGCTGTTAACCTGACGGCTGGCAGTCGTCCTATAAAAATGTCGTACAGAGTTGTTATCACATAATCCGCTAATCTCTTCAAGCAAACTCATTACTATTTGTCTCAGTTTGATAATTAGCCGGCACTACAAGTGAACTGTCATTTGTTATGTTATATGGTGCGTTCTACCTATAGGCCGCGCAGATGTACCGTATTTCCGAGTAATTATCATCTTCAACACAAAAATTACCAAACAGCTCGTTTGATTTTACAACTAACATTAGGTGAATGCTTGTAAGTAGTTTCCGCCACAGTATGGCCCATATCATTTGTTCATTTTTCAGTCTTCTGTTTAACGAAGTCTGTCTCTTTCACTATTCCTCGTCTGGGCTCAAAACTCCTTTTTCTTCCAAACTTTCTTCATGCCGTCAATTCGTCGCTCAGTTGGTTCATGGCATTTACCAGCTATTCACAATGAGAAATGTAGTTCGTATCATCTTTATGCATGGCTGATCCCGTAGCTGTTCCAGCCGTCTTGATAGTACCGACACTGTGAAATCGCGCTAAGCCATGATGAGCTACAAAAGGATTATACGGCTGCTAAAGTTGTCTGATAGCTCATTTTCTGTAGATGTGCATCCCTTTTAGCTTTAAGTTTGTTAATGCCGCGTGACTCCGTGCTCATAGAAGTAGGCCCAACTAACCAGCAGTCGAAAAGCAGTTTCTTGAGATGAGATGACAAGCAGCGACGAGGTTTCAACGATGTTTTGCATGTTCGCGTTCGGTAGTAGTCTACAGCTGCTTGAACCATTGGATAACCCTATAAACGACCAGAGACAGCGCCACCAGTGTCACAGTTGTATGCAAAACCCGTCGATTCGTATCGACGCAACGCACAAGAATCACAGCATCTTCCATGTTATCGGCTAGAGGCAACTGATCACGGATCTCCTTGCTATTATCCACCTGTGGCCATAAAATATAGATATATCAATATGGTAAAAATAGTACGTCGAATGAAACATATTTTAAACCATATGTTTCAACTAATAGCTGAACGAGGGTAATATAACGATTGGCAACTATACTACGAAGAAGCGAGATTTTTATTCTCAAAAATTAAATTATAGGCTTACAACATATGTAAGTAGATGGCAACCGTATTTAAAATATGATTAAAATGTCCTTTATCGCATTTATTCTCTAATAGGAATGATAATTGGGTTCTGTTTCATCTCAATGATTTGGAAAAGCTACGAGAGGAAATGGTAACAGACTGCTTACCTGATAGTGTATACAAGGATCGCTACTCCACGACACATTGTACAGTGTACAACATAATAGATTCACGCCGACTAAAGGAAACATCACGTATCTGCCATTGAGGATCAAAGAACGGAAACAGAGAATTAGAAAGTCTGTCAAGCGTGGTAGCAATGTGAGCTATGCTTACAGGTACAAGGTAACATACAACACGGAACATATCGAGCTTTTGAAATTCCCCATTGGATTAAAAGATGAACAACAACAAATAGAAAAATAAAGCTTGTGAGTAACTGCACTTTTATATATAATATCTAACTATAAATTGTTGGCAGTATTCACAAATCATACAGGTGTAATATTTAACTTGCACGAAATATCTATACACGTTGCCAGAAAAAAAATCAATGGTCCCAAAAAATCACTAATCCACGAAATTCCGACACTTTATCGTACTAAAAAAATAGAGTAGCATGAAAAAAATGCTCATGCAAGTACTAACAGTGATTGGGCAGAGTTGCTTTTGGTTAGGGCAAAGGTCGCTACTGAGGCGACTCCGCAGCCAATGCCAACCCGTGTGAGGCCGTTACCAATTTTGATCCACCTAAAAATTCACAACGATCGCGCACTTTGTTTATCAAATGGTTAACTGATTGAATTAGTTCAATTTGCTCAATTATGAGCAGCCAGATGGCCTAAACAGTAAACAGCCAAACAACTAAAGTAGCAGCTGGAAGCTGTTTAAGGCAATGAGCTATCAAAGAAAAAAAAAAGCGAAAAAATGGAATCCAATGTTCAAAAATAAGGTAATAACGATTTTATACATTCTTTAAGATTATACACAACAATGTGATATTAGAATAGCCGTTGATTATTACTCGCAAAAATCTGCTTCTTGTTGGTAACGTCTTAGTGATTCATATAGGAAAATGCACCCCGTGCATGCTGTTCGCCACTTAAAAAAATCTAAAACGGGACACCCCTAGGCTGTCCCCACCGCTTGCAGAAAAACCTGAAGACCGCTGAACAACCGAGGAGAAATTGTATATTGCTACGGATTTAGTATTTATACAGTGCCTACAGCAATGAACCATGTTGCTCCAATAGCAATATATAAATAGGGCCACTAGATGGCTATTTATTAGCTGGCGTAATGCTTTTCCTTCGTCTGTCATATAAGATCATTGCTTTTATAGAAGTAGGTTTTTTTCCTTTTGACAGGGTACATAAAAAAGCCCTTCTCATGGGTCCGTACGGACCTGGCGGTGGCATCGGCGAGGCTGTGCGGTTCGATGACAATGATCTTTGGAGTGAACTCCAGAGCTCTGTCAAACTCGAGCTCATGAGCCTCATGTGAGCCCCCGCCAGCTTCCTTTTTTTCGCCGAACATCTCATGGATGATCACCCACTCGGGGGAGATATCCGGCGATGGCGGCAACTCCCTGAAACAATAAGTGCAACGGAAATTTAGCGCAAATAGAATAACGTGTTCATCTTGTCGGGGGTGATTTATTAAATTATAGCAGGCTATTGGTCCTAGTTTGCTCCATGAGTTGCCCGTATCCCCTGCAGCCTGACAAGACCCTTTCTGCCCGTTCAATGTAGTTGATTTCGATTTTTTTTTACATTACTTACGCACCTTTAGGGCAATACACTGCGGCGCTGACCTTAAAAATAAGGTCCAGCACACGTTCATGTCACATAAATGCATCATTATATTCAAGTGTGAGTTTAGCGTTGCTGCTTATGGACTGCTGGATATGTATAGAACAGAGAGCCCAGGTGGTTTTAGAAAACTGGACTGCAGTTTCAAAACACGTTAATAACAGCGCACCCAAGGGCAGTATACTTAAGCTCTATTATCTAGTACACGAAATATTGATAACGTTACTTTTAGAAGTAATATCCATGTGGTTATTTGTCAATTGAGCCACAGTGCCTCCACTTTGAAGCGAGTGAGCCGAAACGTCAATAGAAGGTATAAGAGTCTTTAAAATCACCAGACAAATATAGCATGGCCCATACACTCGACCGTTCCATTTCGATGTACTAATTAACACAGTTGTATGTGTCTTTACACTAAACATTCAAATATTTTTATGAAATTATTAGTTTGGTCGAAAAGAAATATTTGTTTTTTCAGTGGTCTGTTTTTCGTCGATTGTTTCGTCTTTATGGTTTGTTCACCTTTTACACGACTCAAAAGCGCCCTTCTTTCGTTACAGACCTGTTGTAATTCTGTTACTTGATAAAAAGATCTTGCTTGTGATAAAAAAAAATTTAGGAGTTTTTGTGCTTTGTATAATGGTTGAAAGTAGTTCACTAAGTTTCAAGATGACATATCCAGCTTCAAGAATACACCTCAGCCAGGTCGTAATAAATAAGTTAATAATTTGTTAAATGGTTAAGCAAATGAGCTGCAATGCACTGGAAAGTACGCTTTCCTAAATGTCGGCCGGCACACGTAGCCACAACAATGGATCGTTGTAGGTGGCAGGAAACAATGTTCCTAAGTTAATATGAAGTCAAGAAGGGAACGCAAGTCCTGAGAGATCCGCTTAAGCCCAAAAAGTGTCAGGTTTATACAAAAGACCGCATAATTTGCGTTTGATAAGACTCGAAGGTCTTGCTGTGGAAATGCTTAAGAGAAACACTACGGTTGGCAAGGATCTGCGGATATAGCCTAGTTGAGTATACGACATTATGCTGCACACAAAATCCAATGGAACAACACAATCATTTTTCTGCAGAACAATGCCGAGCCATAGATGGCAAAAAGTCGGTAAGGACGTCCTGCAGAAGCTTGAGCGAAGCTTCTCCTATATCCACAATAGACTTTGGACCTAGCATTGATGCGTCACTACCTTGCTCGGTAAGTGACAAATGAGATTCGTAAAAGTTGATTTGATAGTGAAGAGGATCCCCAAACTGGCTAAACAAGTTCTTCAATACTAGACAACGTATCGTTTTCGTGAAGAGTAGTAAACCAGTTGTCGTAATAAATAGTCGAAGGTCGTGAAAAATGACAGTGAGTAAAAACTACTTAATTTGTTGCTAAGGCTTGAATGAGACGCTGCGTTAAGTGAAAAATTGTTTTTGTTAGACGAAAAAACGCATTTTCTGACAAACTGAATATATTTGCAACACAGGTTGCGGAACAGCGAGCAAAAACTTTAATAAATAAACATAAAATGTTTATTAAAACAAAAGTTTTTGCTCGCTGTTCCGCAACCTGTGTTGCAAATATATTCAGTTTGTATATAAAATATGTAGAACTGCTTTTGCTGATATATTAGGGTTTGCACTAAAAATCTAGGTTAATTATTAATTTACTTATGACAAGATGCGTGTGTTAAGGAATTATTAGGAAAGCCAATGTCTCAGCATTCCGAACGGGAATATGTGTTCTGAACTTAATAAGAGAACCCAAATTTTGATCTGAAGGGAAATGATTTCCAAGAAATACGCGCAGTGCTTTTTTGCTTGATTGGTCGCATATGACCCACTCGGTGAATTGACACACAAACAAATTTGCTTATGTAACACTGTTCAGGGATATTCAAAAGCCCCTTTTTCTGTGAACGACTTCGTTCACTTAGATTATTAAAGTTTTGTTTTTCATACAAAATAATCATGCGAGTGTAGAAAGTATACTTTATGTTCTCTATCTTAGTAAAGATCTAAGCACTACTTTTAGGTTTGAGTATCAATGAACTGATTATACACAGAAAAGAATTACACGACTGTTGTACAAAACAATTAGGGATACAATCAATAGGGGAAAACGACAGCTCTCTTTCGATTTTGAGCTTCTGATCAATGTTTTGAGAATGATACACAACACTGTGCGAACGAACTCACCAAGATGAAGACATGTGTTAATGTGCACATCTAATAGGAAAACTTTTTTCCAACAAAAATAGGCAATCAAGAGCTCGGTCAATTTCTGATGTAAGCTTCAAAGTCTCAAAGACAGATAACGTTGAAGTAAGAGAGACGATTACCAAAAAATCTTGCGCTTTCATTTGAGATTAGTAAAAGAGAACTAAAAACGACTATACAAATGAAAAAACAATGACCACTTAACAGTGGCTAACCCCATAGCGTGCGTCAACCATAATGCAAGGCAAAATTTTAAACGATCTGTTCACCTTTATGTTATCAACACACGCACATGACGGCAGTTACTGGAACAGACCTAGACGGATTTAGCTATATACCTATATTTTTACAGAATCAGATAGAGACAACTAATATCCGGCATCGTTTCACAGCACACACGTAGACACGCATAGTTCGCATTAGTAGCCTTCCCTGTACAAGGGAGGACACAAGGGTTGCGTAGCATCAGCTGATTGTAGATGATGTCCCCCCGCCTTGTGTCCGTGTTTATTGCTTTGGCTTTCTTCATCACTAGCTGATTTGCAAGCCCCCTAGTAACCTCATTTACAAGAGTTTCTTAGACAGATAATCCGATTGCAGGTATGTCGAGCTAATTGTCCTGCTAATCGATTCATGTGACCCTGGTCAAATTATTTTCACCTGCTTGGCACTGCTATTGTAAATTTGAGAGTAAAACTTTCTAGCAGTAGAATGAATAGATCGAATCGAATCGAGAAGCGTGGAGTCCTTGTCACTTACTGTGAGTCCGAGCTGGCCATGATGAGCGAGGGCACGAGCCTTCGCCCTAAAACCGTCTACTCAGCTCAGCGTTGTAGCTGCTCTGAGCAGCGGCAGCACACCCGAAGCAACCCCGTTGCTGCGTCCGCGCCGGATCCAATTACACTATATACTATCACTACGAGCGATAATTCTACCTAGCAGCTGGTTACGGCATCGCTAGTAACAGTAACGTTTATACAGAGTGGTAGCAGTCAGAGCTGTAACAAAAACAATAACATCAACAATTCGTCGTAGGATCTGTACAACCGCTGTTACTGCCACGGATACTGCTTGCCTCCCGCAAGATGTGGCGATTCCCCCTCCCCACGGTAGGGTACGATACTCGGGGACAATCGGTTTGGACCAGCACTTGAAAGTCGACGGGGTAGTTCTTTATCGGTGATAATAGGCACTAATCGACGGATAGATTAAGCTTTTAACGCAAGTCATCCATGAGCAAAACCATGGAATCTTCAGGTTACGTCACGAGTATCTGTTAAAGACAACGATGATCATAACGACGATTTAGTTTCGTTCGGCGGCTAACAATAGAAGTTTTGTGGTACCAGAACGATCACAGGGCTTTGAACGCGCTTTGTTCCGTCGTTTAAGATACTTTTTGACATCTGATTTGTGCGCGGTTTACAGGATGATCGAGGGCGTAAATCAGGGAATGGTCATTATAATCATTCGAAATGCCTGCCCACCAAAGATTGTATTTGCTTAATGTGAGGCACTGAGTATTGTTGAAGGTGTTTGCTTCTAGTATTCAGGCTATAGCGAAAAGCACTGCTGATCTTTGTATGAAGACACCTTATGGCCCGTTATATTTGTACCACATTAAATTTATTAAGTCTACTATATTTTTTGTTATTGTTTAAAGAACTTTACTGTAGTTTATCGAAAGGAAACAGGCAGATTTGAAATTCAATGTCGAAAAAAGTAATAACTCGATAACGAGCGCCCTTTCGACACTGCATTATATACTTTAATTAAATTAGCTACGATTCGCCACAATTTAATGTTTGAGTTCTTTATAGTACCTAGTAGTAGTAGTGAAATACGATAATAATAAAAAAAAAATTTGAAAATATCTTATAGTTTTTCTATGTGCTATTGAAAAGGCTATTAATGTATTTCGGTCACGTTTTAAAAATATAAATATCAGGCAGTTTAAGAATACATTCGTACTTGCAAGCAGCAAAACTATTAGATATCTCACAAACTGTATTTTCATAATTTGGTCTTATTTTATTAGTCTTTTAACATTGAAAATGGTGCACCGTCTCATCCAGTCGTGAATTTCGGTAAATACACAGACCTTAGATGAATAAATAGATGTCGCTAATAAACCTTCTGCTAACACAAAAACAGGCATTTGCAGTTTTGCGCTATGTCGGGCTGCAGGGAAAACACTTTGACCACCCACATAATCTCACTTGTCATCTCATCACTGGCCTATTTACTGAACTGTCTTTTCACCCTTAGTTGTGCTTATCACAGATATAGGGACACTCTTTTTTCTGTGCTCTCAATTTTCAGTTTGTCCTACTGTTGTGTAATCAAGTGATTTGACTAGCAACTTCTAAACTTACGCAACTTGCGTAATTCAGGATCAGTGCGTTGTTGTTGGCGTTCCTGTTGTCTAAGGCTCTAAACAGCATACGGCTAACGTTTCTCATGGGAACATAAAGAACGACTTGGAAAAATAGAATATATTCTGAAGGACATATTTGATAAAGCGAGCCATCGGTGAAATGATATCACCCAGCCTAGTCAGCTGTTAATCAGAGTCGTCTTTGTGCGATGCTGTCTCTGAAGCCATTTAAAAATCTGAAGTTCAAAAACGAAACGTCCAATTGTGTACATAACAATCAGAACTCTCTTAAAGAATTCTGTTTTAGTTTACTTTAAAAGAAAAGAAAACATCAAGTTCAGCAGCTGTGCCCCAGCCCTTCTTCAGGTAACTAAAATGTGTTCTAGAACAAGCAGGAAAATCTACGACCTAAAAATGTTTTCTATACGATTCATAAACAGGACCGAAGACGCAGAGGGTCGTCCAGCTGTGACAATCATGTGGCATCTATCAACTTCGTTCGCTGTTCCAACTTCAACGTTCATGCCTGTGAATCAGAGAGAGTGTATGCATATCAGGTTCGCGGACTTCGTTTCAAAGATAAAATGTATTTTATGTAAAATCAGAGAACGATAAATAAATGAATAACGAATACGCTCTGTGGTAATTTCCGGCCTCTATGTAGCCAGCGTACGCAAAATGAGTGTACAACTGTCTTTTCTAATATTTAATTCATTATCGTCATTATGATTACCGTTTGCAAAGCGATATCTATGTGCGTATTTTTACCATACTTCTTAACTTAAGCATATCTTGTCAGTTAATAATGTTTTACAGAGAGCGCTAATGAATTGTAAAGTGATTATAAGGCTCATATTTTGGCTACTTTGTACCATGTGTAGGTTAAATTAGACCTGTGGTGACCGCAATTTGTTCAATTTCTGTACATTTTTGTCTTTAGAAGTTTTTATCCTATTTTCCCGCCACATATTTCAAAATACGAAAAGTGCGCTCATCTCAAACTTTGAGTTACCCTTTCTCGTCAGTTGTAAGTGGTAGGTTTATGTCATGGTACTTTGAATGGTTTCGATTTCGCTATCGACAAAACAAACAAATTCAACGAGCGCTTCCCAGACCAACTATGTGCATTCGGTAGACCGAAAAGTGATGGGAGTTTATTTGGTGTTTTGTAGTTATTTAATTGTTATTTATACTGTAAGAAGTAGAACTTTTAAAAATAGAACTTAGTCTGCTCTAGTGAAAGTGTTAGATACGTGATATTGGTGCCTATTAGCCAGTAAATTATACTGTTCATAACAGAATTAAAAAACGATAGATAATTGAGAAAGACAATGAAATCTGACTCTGAAGAGGGAGAGATTGCCCGCGGAAGGTTTGTATACGATTCGTTTTCTTTGCGTTTGTACTAGTAAAACGCATAATTTAGGTAAATTTTGCTGTGTACTTTTATACAGCAGTAATTGACTGCTTGTGAACATTAACAAACAGTTATTTGTGAGTGCACTGAGTCTACGAGTGATTTGAATTAAAAGCCGGGTGAGCAACTGGAAGAAACTTTCGTGCTTAAATGATGAGGTTAATGATAAGTTAGTCATTTGGATTTATAAAATGAAGCTGTGAGACGGACTCTGCCCGTGGATAGATGTGGTTGAGTGTATAGTGTTGAGTATACAACTCTGCGCATGGGCTACCTTGGTAGAAGCTCATAATGCAAACACTGCATAGTCACGTTCTATTGTAAACAACGCAAAAACTTTCGTTCACACAAATTCTACGGGATATGGCGCAGCGATCCGTTCTTATCGTCTAATGAACCATTTTCCATACAAATATAAATATGTATTCCATTTTATCGAATAATTGAAACCAATAAGTTAAAATAATGGAGTATTTAAGAAGACGGGTAAAATTTTTATGGCAGGCGTCTTTTTTTTTTGTTGTGGAAAATTACCTTTAATTTTAAGCCATGACAAAATATTAGAGTATCTGAGGTCTCTTCCGTAACCGTACTGAGAATTTTAGGTTGCTTTTTTGGCTGTAGCATTGAATTGCAGGAAAATACGCATACCAAATCGCGAGAAACTTTGCGTTGTCACTTCTGAACTGCAATATATGCGCTCTTTATTTATCATAAACTTTCGTTTTTTGTGACGCTTTGTGTTGCAAACTTGTCACGAACTTTTAAAAGGTTGCAAAGAATTTCGATGTTTTTCAGCATTTGCCGATGTTGAAGCGGACAGACCTAGCGAACAAAAATGTAGGTGTCAACAGCGCCTAATTTTTAGTAATCGAATTTAGAATAAATGCACATATATATATATATATATATATATATGTGTCCATTTATATATAGGCCACCAAAAATTTATCCTGACGGGCATTGAGCGGTCAAATAGATTATTGAATCTAATCATAGACTAGCAAATGTATCCCTCTGTCGAAATATACCCACTAGACAACTGGCCTTAACTGCAGCGCCGCGTCCTTTTTTCGAGACGAATGTAACGAAAAAGTTGTATTTGTCTTTTAACAGGCGTATTGTCCTTTTGCCAAGGTGAGTATTATTATATGGTGTTTTAAAGGCGCAAAGGTTTCTTGTGCATGCTTCTTGCCTCAAGTTTGACACAGAGGGAGAAATAAAGCACAAAAATTGTTTTGATCGCAAATTCCAGTAACAAGCTGTCGATAATGCAAACCGCGCTGCACAATTTGTATATGGATATTTCGTTTTGTCTCAGAACAAAGTCTTTTTCAAAAGGCAGCACATTCAACAATGAAGCGATCTAATACAAAGTGTACCTTCATATCTGCTGCGCAGTCTTCGTTCAAACACGCCAAAAATTTCATTTTAAAGAGCTTTATTCAAGGTAGCGTTCGTCTAAAATCTGCGTTCGACGCAATATTTACTTTACTGTTTATCGAAACTATTATAGAATCCCTTGTGCTATTAAACAATCATCCGTCAAAGTCCATGAACTAAAATATCCTTTTTCATTGGCCAATTCTGTTCATTAACTGAAAAGTAGATAGTAGATTGTACGTTGCTGCTGTTTAAAACAAGAATGCGTTTTGTGACATCCTCTATTAACACTTATTTCCGTATATCTAACAGTAACAGTGAGGCTTCTTCCGGTGATCAAGATGATCAAGAGGATACTCTTGAAATTAAACCTCCACAAAGACCGCAACGTGAACGAGATGGACGCGGCGATCGAACTTCAAACGATTGGGAGCGAAGAGATTCTCATAAGGACACGGGTAGTGGTTCCTTAAGGGGACAAGACCGTCGACATCGCACTGACAAACATCACAAGGCTAGACATAGGTGGGCATGATACTATTGTGGTAACTAAGCGATCATTAGTGATTAGTATTGATTTAACAAGTTGATATTATTTATTGGCAACCTGACAAAACATTACGCTCTAAATACACCGTTCCATGCCGTTGACTGTGGTTCACGTGTCCTGATGTCCTGCTAAAGGCTCACGTTATTATACTAAGGCTAGTGGTGCACCGCGCACGTTATCCTTATTCGCAGTTCACGTCGCTCACTTAACTCTCTTCATTTTTGACACTCAACTCATATCCGTATAAATAACACATATTTTGTTAATTTTTGCTGGCATTTTCATGGTTGCTAATTGCTTCATTCTGTATGGTGGATACTCATGTAGAGAGCGAGAACGCGATAGCTCATATAGAGATTACGACAGGTCTCGTGATGATGGGCAGCGTGGGTGAGTTATTTTGAGTAATTATCTTCTGATTCGCTTATAATTTTCTTATGATCTTTAAGTCTATTTAAATACTCTCGTAAAATAAATTCTCTAGACCCTTCAACTGGGCTACATAAAAATTTAAGCTGTTTTATTCTACAAATAAAGTAATTTTCCAGTAAAACCGCATGCTTATTTTTTATGCAACTAATATCTACCAATATTTCAGCTCGCGAGAATCTACTCACCACTCTTCGCGCGACCGGCGAGATCGGCGATCAGACCGAGACGATGAAAGGGATCGTGACCGGGAGCGCGAACGCGATCGGGATAGGAGCGTGAAAGATGCAAGGGAAAAACTCAACCGAAATCGGTTGGAAAAACAACAGCAACAGCAGCAGCAGCAGCAGCAGCATCAGTCGTAAATACCTTCTCCTTAATAGGCATTGATAAGAATTTAGTCGTGGGCAACGCTTCATGCCCGTTTTGCTATTTAGTATTAGTGATTTCTCTTTCACTTTTTTTTTCGCTTCGGAAGGAGCAGTGCGTGGTGGATATAGCCCTTATTTACTTCGCGCACTATCCAACGATCACAAAAGCTAGGCTTACAGAGATCAATTTCAAATGATACTATTCAAGCAGTTTTTAAACTCTTATTTAACAAGGACGCTTGTTCGAAGCCACTTGCATGAATAACATATTATCACGCATGTGCGGTGTACTTTAAGGATGAACTTCTACTAGTTGCCAAGCATTTACAGCCTCTTTCGTTTTTTCTTTCATTGCAGGGGAGGCGGTCATTCATCAGGAGACGAAGAGTTACAACGTAGACGCGAACGACTTTTGGCTGCATTAAACGAACGAGAACGAAAAACCAACAACGAAGACCTTTTCCGAGAGAGTCGTGATCGCGAGAGGAGTCCTCAAGAGCGCCCAGCAAGGTAATTTTTCTTATGATGGATGCTGTGAAATTAGTATATACGTAAGCACAAACTAGAGATACTGTATCATGTCATAATCATTTTTGTTGTTAAATTAAAATACTACTTTCTTATGCAGTGTATTGGTCGAAACATGTGTAAAATATATTTGCAAGACGGTATTTCGATTGAGGAACTTCTATAAATGCTAGAATTTTGCTGAAATATTGGAGTTAAATTTTGCCCCTTTACGATTTGTTTTTATTGTATCCCTCTATTCATTATAGAACAAGACAACCTCATCCTCACGCGCATCCGGACGAAGACGACGACGACGACGATGATGATGATGACCTTGATCTGCATAAGACGGCGCAGTCAACAGCCAAAAGGCTGTCTCCGTCTAGAGATAAAAGCATTGGAACTAGTGCGATATCTCGATCTAGGTTAAAGGATGCTGGCAATAGAGCCAGTACCGGTAGCGAGCGGTCAGACGCATCTGGCTCGGGATTAGACGAAAGTAGCACAGCAGGCGAATCCGGAGGTGGGGCAACAGATGATGAGCGTGATCTGAGCAAAGGAGATAAAGCAAATAAGGAAAAGGATTTAGCCGGTATCAGTATAAAGGATTCTAGGCGAGAAGGGCCAAGCGGAAGTGGCGATAATGGGGGTGGTCCTCAGCCAATGGATGTTGATGATGGAGATGATGAACCGAGGCCACCAGTTGCTCAAGTTGGTATAAAAACAATTAGGCGAGTGATTGGTAGGTATGAAATTTGAGTAGATAATAAAACGAAATCGACAATCGGTGACATGTGCGCTTTAGGTATTACTATGTATCCGGGTCGTTTTTGCTATCATAAACTAGCCTCGCCGACATTGTAAAGTCGAGCATACTGAGGTTGTCTCTCAGATTGAGATCACTAATTGAAAACCACCTCTTAATGACTATCCTAAATCATTTGGAAATCTCTAAGTCTCTGTTAGATATTATGATGGTGTTACGGTTAACATGATATAATAGTTTTCATATATGAATGCTCTCTGTTATTTTTTGCACCTGTTTTATTGGGTAGAGAGCGGAGCAGAAAGACATCCGTGAGGAAGATGAATTTCTTGAGAACCGCGGAGCTGAAACTGAGAGGGACCACGTTCGAGATGACGACTCACAAGATGGACCTCTTGATGGCGAGACCGGTAAGTATTTAGTTGTAAAGTATGGCATTTTTACAGAACATAGCATTTGCTTTGTCCCGATCTGCCGCCTAGTTCTCGTATCCCTTTACGGTTCGTTTGGTGCATCAAGCATACATCTAATGTGTGTATGGTTAGAAATACTGTGGTCATAATATTAAAACCGTCTGATTCTTATTGCCGTCGCTACTTTTGTCGATTGAAACCATATCAAACACGGTTCGTTTGGGCTCGTTCTAATAGATTTCTTCCTTATCGCTTTATTTCGGTCTGTAGACCCTATAGAAGAGCTAATTGATTACTTCCCAGCTATGCAAGGCTGCCGACGCGTGGAAGAGTTTCACTGCCTCAACAGAATCGAGGAGGGCACTTATGGGGTGGTGTACCGTGCCAAAGACAAGCAAACAGGTAAATTTCCAATACCGTGAATTTGTCTACGCAGACGGAACGTAAGAGGGTATAATGGCCGAATATTCAAGTGTTTGTGAGAGTTGAGTGGCAGTTCAACATTTACTTCTAACGTCTATAACCACTTTCAACGTATTCTCGTGACTGCGACTATTAGATCACTGCTCGGATATATTTCTTAATAGGCATAATATAGGCATTAATTATTTTATGTTGAAGCCCGCTACCAATTTTGAATTCTTTTTTCAGACGAGATTGTGGCCCTTAAGCGGCTGAAAATGGAAAAGGAGAAAGAAGGATTTCCAATAACATCTTTGAGAGAAATTAACACCCTACTAAAAGCTCAGCACCCAAACATAGTTACAGTGCGGGTAAGTCACAGTGCGGATATGCATTCATCCTTATTGCTATTAATATCTGAAATAGCTAATAATCGAAGAGACTAAGGAGAAATATTAAAAAGATTTAGTTATTTTAATGCAATTTATTGTTTTTTGTTTTTGTCTGGCAGGAAATTGTGGTTGGAAGCAACATGGATAAAATTTATATTGTGATGGACTATGTCGAGCATGATCTTAAAAGCCTCATGGACACCATGAAGTCGCCTTTCCTTGTAGGCGAGGTTAAAACCCTTATGAGGCAGCTACTGAAGGCGGTAGCCCATATGCACGATAACTGGATTTTACATAGGGACCTCAAAACGTCCAACCTGCTCCTAAGTCACAAAGGCGTTCTTAAAGTAAGTACCGCCAGCATATATGGAACTGGTTTGTGCGAACTACAGAATCTAAGCTCGCATCTAATATATTTATGGACATGTTGTAATGCTTATTGAAAGCGTTGTTAATATATGTATATCCATCCTTATGGTGTGTGTCGTTTCAGGTGGGTGATTTTGGTTTAGCACGCGAATATGGATCTCCACTGAAACATTATACGCCTGTTGTTGTTACGTTGTGGTACCGTGCTCCCGAGTTACTTCTTGGCTCCAAGGAGTATTCTTGTCCAATCGATGTGTGGAGTGTCGGTTGCATTTTTGGCGAGCTCCTTACACTCAAGCCCATGTTCCAAGGAAAAAGTGAAGTTGACCAATTAAACCGTATCTTTAAGGAACTTGGAACTCCCTCAGAGAAAATTTGGCCAGGCTTCAACGATCTTCCAATGGTGAAGCGGCTCTCGTTTGATCAACAGCCGTATAATCTTTTGCGTAAAAAAATTCCTGAGACTCTTCTGTCAATGGCTGGATTCAACTTATTGAACGCCCTTTTGACGTACTGCCCTGGTAAACGAATAAACGCAGAGGATGCGCTTCGTCATGAATGGTTTACAGAAAAGCCCGACCCTGTCGAACCAGATATGTTCCCCACATGGCCTGCAAAATCAGAAGGCGCCACTGCTACCGCCCGAAGAGTTCAGTCCCCTAAACCGCCCTCTGGTGGGCAGCAGGCGAAAAATCTTCTCGTAAGTGTTCAATACAGTCGAACACACAAGTTGAAAGGTTTGGAATTATGGCAAAGATTAATAAAATAAGCGAACTATTGTAGGATAATTCATCCCGAAGGTTATTCTCAAATCCTTGGAAATACATGAATCAGTAATTCAGGTATCTTTAAGGACTTGAGGATAATAAGATTGGCGTTTGTATACTGGCATTGATTTAGAACAGGTGACAAGCTTCGTATGCCTGTGCCACCGTTAAAGATCCAACTCAAAGATGAGTTGCAGTGCTTTCCAAGAATTGAATGTTGTATCTATCCTTTCTTTTTATTTCAGGATGATGATTTTGGTTTCCGGATGACCTCGACAAACAGGGGAGTTTCGTCCAAAGGAACTGGCTTCTCGCTCAGATTCTAAACCCATAATGTATTATTAGTAGATGCGATCAGCTCCTATGTCAATAAACTGGCCTCTATTTAGCCTGGACGATCCACGACTAAAATTTTGTAGATTATGATATATTCACTTGGACAGCTTGAGCTCAGGAATAGCAAGTTGATGACCCGGCCAGAGAGATGTTAATAGTGACTTCTGTATAAACAATATATATATATATATATATATATATATATATATCTCGATGGAATGCAATAAAAACGAGAGAAATACTCTTTTGTTATAAAAATATTGGCATATGTATTAATTGTACTTTCATGCTCAATAAAAATCAAGCTAGTGAGCGTAGTTCACCCACTATTTCAAAAATTGTTTCATTTGGCTAGTGGTGAATCAACTTGATTAAGAAGGAACTAGTTCAATAGTTGCACGTAGATTGTAAAAGCATGTACCATGAAAAAAAAAACTCAATTTTTTTGCGCGAAGTCCTTTTATAGACACAATACGTCTCGATAAAAAAAATTATTTTTCATGTTTTAAAACGCATTATGAATAAATTCTATGTTAAATTTTACTTTGGGTAGATGCGTAGCGCCGAGCGCGTTCTGTCGTATAGAATCAGTGTTTCAGGGACGACTCGTGGGTTACTATGAGTATTGGACATTGACTAAGCTCTATTTATTTTCAGCGCTATTACTAACTTTTCAGGTCAGTCAAGGCAGAAAACTTATAGAAAACTATAAAAGGCTTGGAAAGAAATGTCACTTAATCCTAGGAAAACACACTCGTTCAGCGCAAACTCTGGATGAATCAGTTTATAGTCGGTGTCTGCTGTCAGTGTTAGAGGGCTCACCGCCAGATAGGAACGTTTAAAAAGTGGTAGCGGCGAACAAAAATTCCGAGCAATTGTTAGTGACGATAGCTAATCGAGGGCCATATCTAAGCAAAAAATCCTGAAAGGTAAAGACAAATGCTAAAAAATTAAGAAATCATGGCGCCAAAGCTAGCTAAGGAGCAGATGCTGCATCTTCCCGTCCTTAGTGTGTTTTATAATAGTTAGGCTGACGTGTGTAGTCATTGTTGTATAACACAATTTATCGCGCTCCCCAATACGTCCATTGTATTCTGTGAAAAATAAAAGCAGTTCCAGTTATACTTGTGAGAAAAGTATAAAGGTGGAAAGAAAAGTGTGGAAAGTAAGGGTAGAAAATGATTGACACGTTTGAACCCTATGGTGTCAAATGAAAACAATCAACGAGTGTTCTAAATATTGTAATCCTCAACTTACCTATGTTCGTATCCTTACCTGACAGAGCTGTGGAACAGTGCTACACATGCATCAATATCAATATTTGTCGCAGAGGTGTACAGAGATTAACCTTGGTGCAATCCAGCTCGATAAACACAGTTGCACGTATACGTTTGTGAACGAATATGTAGCCAAGTGAGGAATATTCTTTATCTAGAGCAAACGAAGTTAAATATACTTGTCTTTATTTTCATAGTAAAAAAAACTTAAACAATAAATAATATTTAGTGCGGACGCGGTTGGGGTTCAAAAGCTCTGGTCATTTGTCGATGTATTGCTACCATCAGACCATCGCTTTCAACCTTTACAAGTTAATGGGAACAACAAAGCCCGTATCCGACAAGGCTTCTAGGATTTACCAGCCCACGATACCGAAAGACCAAGTCGGGATAGCATCAGCTACTAGTCAGATGGCCGCAAGGCGCGGATAGGTTGGGAACCAGAGCATCATTGGAGGTGGCGCTGCGAGCCAACCGTTAATACCGATAGCAGCGTTAGATCGTACTTAACGTTATCACGGCATTAAAAAAAGGGATGCAAAGGAAGGCTTGGCCGTGAAGGATTGGTGTTAACGAAAAAAAGCATAACCGATAGCAGGACCAAACGGTGCCGTACGGGTAGCAAGCTGCAATATATCGCACGAAGTCTTCAGACGCGGATTGTAAAAATTTAACAAAGGGAAAACGCCAGATGCACACTAGGCCGATAAACCACCTACAAAGGGGCTGGAGCCGTTGAAAGACTATGGCGGCAACGTGCAGCCAGTAAGAAAATGATCAGCCGCGGTGGGTCGCATCCAGAACGCTAGACAATTCAGGCATGAATTGAGAAGGGCGCAGCTGCACTCGGGATACCTGAATTCTACATGGGCGCAATGGTTGATGGGAATGATTTAGTGTTATGATCAAAAATGTAGATAATAAACGACTGCTAGTTCGGACACAGTTGAGGCGTAAAAGCCCTGGCCGCTTGTCGATATATTGTCGATTTCTAACCACAAGCTTATTCCTCACATTACGTATTAGCACGAACTAAGGCATGGTTTTACTAATTTTCACCTATTAGGGCATTTATGGAAGATGTCTCTTAGGCGAATTGATAATAATCCAAAAGTTCGTTCTCCGTAAAGACCTAGCTGTTTCCAGCCAGAGGAAATAAACAAGATCCTTTATTTCTTTTTACGAAAATCTGTTACATGATTTGATTTTGTTAATTGTTCATATGTTGGTTGCTTACAAAAAAAAAAAGTATTTAAAGTTGATTACAATAGACATCATAATGTGGGTCCTTTATGAACTCAAGAAAGCAAGTTATGTTTTAGCACGGCTTCTATTCACATCATACAGTATGCTCTTCCGTTATCCCTACAAAGAACTAAAGACACGAAAAGAAAAGTTGCTCAGTCAGCCTAATCTGGTACGCTAAGTTTATTATAAATAACAAGAACACTTTAGTTAGCAGAACTGACACAAAGCGATGCTCGAAGTGGCACGGACGAAGTCTTTCATCTGAGAAGCTACAAAAAAGGATATCAAGAAGCATGCCATGAAGTACGCACATGATAAGGATATAGCCGTTTAGAACTATAAGTGACCAATATATCAATGTATTATATAAACCAACTCCTGAGATAATCATAGCATTCTAAAACAAGGTATGTAAGTTGCCACCTTTATTTACTAACACAAATTTTCGTTTAATACATTTGTCAGACTATATTCCGTGAGACACAAAAAAATATTAACTTTTTTGCTGATTGATGCGATTGTTTTCTCTCAGTGGTTTAGCTGAGACGTAACGTTGAAATACACGAATAGAATTTCGCCATTAACACGCACTTCGATCGTTTATTGTTCTTACTATTTTTACAGGTATAATTATTATAATTAGTATTAGCATAAAATTAACTGCATTCGCTAAGTTTAATACAGATGCAACTCACAAGCAGGCTCTCCGTTTAATACAAATATTTTTTGCAACAAAAAGGATTCACTTAAACTTTGGTTCCCCGTAACTGACAAATAAAATGGAGACGACGAAAAAATAGAAAATTATCCGCTTAAAAGGATGCCAGCCTACTCGTAAGCTGTACAACAAATGCATAAACTTTAAAGCAGTTTCTAGGAGAAACAGTATTTTCTGTCCATCTGTTTTTGGTCTATCACACTGCTTGGCCCTTTTCAGTGTAAGGTGTAGCTGTTCGTAACGGCCAAAGAGCTGCACTTGTTGTCTTCGCCTACAATAAACAGTAATTATTATTGCAAGAGTCAGGATAAAATACATTTCCTAAACTAAACTACTATATCGCAGCGGTATCGTATAAATAGCTGTAGATTCCAGCGTGTGCTACTGCAGTGACAGATCTTAACCACATTTTTTGTTCCGTTTGACTGTGTATAATAATTCTTCAAGGAACCTAAATGTTTCGATTTTTACGTCCGATACCGCCTTTAGGTTCTCCATCAGACGGATAGATGCCAACTCGAAACAATGTCTACGACGAAATGCGAATTTAAAGCATTACGTGTGTTTAGTAGCAAGTTTAGCAGCCAACATGATACCCACTATACTATCACAAGGATTCCTTCAAAGAACATACGCTACCATATCCATCCACGTAACTGCGTAACATTGCTAGAATAAAACGTGATAGATCGGCGATTTTACGAACAAGAGAGTCTTTCCATTGTACAACATATCAGATTTATGTTTTTTTATGGTACCGGCAAGTCAATTCAGCAGCCTAGACTGCTTACTATGCTGTTTGCTCAGGAACGTGTAAGTAACAGGTGTGACCACCTTCGTTTCACCGTTGTAGTTATTTTATAAATACGTCTGTGCACATTCCTTATGTTTAAATTTCTTCATCTAATCCAAACGGGAAGCTTTGCTTCAAAATATTAAAAAAAAAATATTCACAAAAATTCTATGGTACTTATGGGTCACTTGCAAGACCGAAGCAGCGACCCCTTCTTTCTTTCAACCTGATATGATACTACAGCAGCAGCAGCAGCATCTGTCTGAGATCAGCTTCTTTGTTGGCCAATCATCAGGGTCCGATGCGAAGGTGGATTCGTCGAAATTCTTTTAGACTTCGTATGTACTGAAGACTTGGTTGAAGATTATTCGAAGATTGTTTTGCAAGAAAGTCTTAAGTGTGCCTCGGGAAATCATGGTTCCGAGGTTACCGATTTGAGATGCAATCCACGCAAATGGCTGTACACCATCCACTTTCACCCAGATACCATCCAACTCCGTTAATCGGACCGAATCTACCTAAAATTGAAATTCATTCGAGACGGTTGAGTGCACGTAATTCTGCATTGGAATGGTATTCGAACCTACTTGATGACACTAGTTCTACTTTTAACTGTTTGAAGCATTCGTTGTTTCACAATGTGTATCAACTCAATTAAGTGTGATCAAAGGCAACACAAATGTAATCAAGATTCTCTTCAGTTCGCCTAAGTTAAAATAGACGCATGGGCCGTTGGGCGGTGCTCTACTGGTCAAATAATCTGCTAATAAGCTGAATCTAGCGGAACAGAATGAGTCGTTGGGTTGTTAATAAGAAGTTGATAATTCCATAGAGTAAAAATGAAACCAATCACGAAAAACCATTTTCCTCGGTTTGGTCAGGCCCACGTTTACGAGCATATGATTCAAAAATAATTTTATTGGGAACAGTCGGGTCATTTATAGGTTATGACGAATCAATCATAACATTGTACTTACGGTAAACGATACGGCTTTATTCTGATTAAGTGGAGCAGAGAGCTTTATTTCTGTAGTAATACGATTGGCGAAAGTCCAAAAACCTCCTGACATTCCGTTAATCCCCGCTACATTCCACGTGTAATGTACCTGAGGATTCAACAAGATAAAAATATCGGAATCATTTTTCGGCAAAGATCAAGTTCTAGGAGTCGAATCCATACAAATAAATCTGTTTAAGCCTGAGCGAGAATTCTCTTCTTCTGGCCACATATTTAATTCTATTCTCTCGTAGTATAACGAAACATCTGATCATGAGCCTAACTTGACTCGTAATTGTGCCTCTTCATTTATGCCTAATTCTGCGTCAGCATTTTCTTGATTACCTACCTCTACAAGTAAACAAGACTTAATAGCATGCGAGAATATTATTTTCTTAAATTAGCATACCTTTGTAGTGTTGAAAGCGAGCAACATGATCATGTTAGCCTGCTCTTCTTTCTTGTCACACAAGATTTGGGATGGATGACGCAGTACAAACTGATGGAGATTGTAGATTTTTCCATTGTAAAGACGGAAGAACTGGAACATAGACAACAAAGGGAACAATTTATATATATCACGGTGATAATTAAGTTGTAAAAAAAACCTCGTTCACAATTTCAGTGTGAATTTTCATGTTAATATAGAGCTTGAATTCGACATGACACATATGTAACACATATGTAAAAATAAGACCGCATTGATTCGTGTAGACCCTCCGGGATTAGACCTAGAAACTTTACAGTCTCAGGCTTCCGGTGCGGTCTGTAAGCCATGCTAGTGAATTATGCACACGTACGTCTTAATCTTCTTTTCTTTGTGGATTGCAGTTATTGCACAAAGGCCTGTATTTGCTTACGAGAGATTGAGCAAAACCAACGCGTAAACGTGGTTACTCAAACGGCAACATTCTTTGCAACCTAAATATTCATAGTTGATATAGATGACCAAGCTTCAATTTCATTTCCTTTCACCTACCTTTCGTATATCGTCCTCCATTCTAAAGGGTTCTTCCCTTTTTAATGTTTCTCGTAGGCTATCAAGCACCGTCTCCGAATAGTCCTGTCGCTTGGATTCATCACTGCATAAATCTTGCAATGAGACTCCTTTAACAGTTGTGCGGAAAGTAATTAAGCACAAATATCAAGTGAGTTACAGCGGAGAGGCTATGCGTAAATAATTGTTTTTTGAAAATATATCTCAACTTCTTTTGAATGAACTCTGACTATCTGAGTGACTTCATTGCAAATGGTAGTATATTGAGGCTTCGAACCTTGTATAATATAGATACAGTTTTATTCAATCTGTTCCATATGTCTGACTGGAACAACTTCGTCGGACAGGTATAAAGGCTCTATGCGAAGCAGTAGATCAAATAGGTATGGGGGTACAGAGGAGAAGCTGCAATATATGGACAATTTTCAATTTTTCAATTTAACAATTTTCCGCGCCAGAACTTAAGACCTCAAACAATGAATATCAGCTTATTCTGGGTCACTAGACGCGAATCGCTAGCCCTATGGAGAAGCGCACTGTTGCTTTTACATAAGCTTATCTGTTATTTGGGCTATCTCCTTGTATATACCAAGTGATGGCCCAAATAACAAATGTATCTCACTTGTTTGAAAATATAGGTGACACTTGTAAAGTGAAAGAGAAGTTTTAAAGTACTACTCACTACACAGTCCAAAGGAGAATGTTGAACACAAAACGAGGAGTGTTACTTGGACTTTCATCTGAAATCAAATATGTAAGAAACGCGATAGTATAATTCGTTAATATAGAAAATGTTTGTAAGTACTACGAATCGTTAATTTGATATGAGTATTTCAGCGAAATTCAGCCCTTATTAGTACTAAAAGATATAAGTTCCGGGTTTCTATGTTATGTCACAAATGCAGTTCGTACAATGGCACTTGTTGTTTGGAATATTCACATTGTAAGTACGTTTCAAGCGTTGACACAGTTTCATACAAAGGACACCGTTCCGGACACGCAGAAACCCATCCTGCGTTGCGGATTGCTTTCTCGAGTGCTATTGAATATAGCACGTTGCTTGACCCGTTCAGGTCTATGAAAGTGCAGCTCCATACCGCACATTTATTGCCATTAAACATCTTATGAAACGTCCGGCTAACGCTAAACTTATCATTGTCTAGATTTCACTAAATAAAGAGGTTACCAAGAACCGTAGGGTTTATTCCTATTCCGCAAGTAAAGTCTCTGATAAATCGAAAACCCATCTTGAAAAAGTAAGAAGGTAAGTAGTCCTTTTTTAGAAGTTACCATCGGAACCACTTACGACGTTAAACAATAAAAATGTGATTCATTTGTGTTACCGTATAACACTTCGACTATTCGCTACCAGGGCCAACAGCACAACGGCCGTTAATTATATTATACGCTTTTTGAAAATGCATACCATACAGGAAAATCTATCTATTAAAAATGTGCATACATTCTTCAAACGCATACTGTGACTTATATTTGAATAAAACAATTATAAATGTTACCCGATCTATTTTTAAGCTTGCCATGATGCTAGCAAACAAAATCTACAATGATGATTCTGTTCGATACCTTGCAACAAAGAACGTTTTTTTGTCAGGACTGTCCGCATGAGCAGTAAATTATACACGGATAATAATTCCTGAAAAATACTCTGTACATGTGAAGCATTACATGATAAAACACGATACCTATGATAAACTTGTTCTATTCAGAGCTTACAAATACATCTTTCTTCAGCATTGATTGGCTCGTATACATTCATAATGAAGTGAGCTAGTTCTTAGGCGGGCTAAAGATAGTGGACGGTTTATCCAAATGTAGGAACTTCAAGTTCGCAGTAAAAAAAAATTGTGTCTGTTGTACTGATGAAGAAGTGATGGATGTTAATGATACTGACTTGCGGTTTATGCTCGTTTTTATATAAACAACAGGGAACATGTAGGTTGCTTTGTCATGTTGAGCTCTCTTCTTTCTCTAGAAAAGTGTTCTTTCGACATGACGTGTCCCAGTAAGCATAGCCCAGACGTATATCAAACAATATTTTGCGATACACATAGGCATATAATTAATGAAACGAATATTCTGTTGTGTCATTAATTACGATGAATTAAGTAAAAAAACAATCGCACTTCGACACGCTGCCCTTTAATCAGCAGCAGATATGCTTTTTTTGAACCTCACTCAAGTTAAGCTTTGAATGCATGTTTGTTCTACATCTATGTTCTTCCATCTGTCGTCTACGACAGAAATCAGTATACTCGATTATTGATGTCAAGCGAAAAGCTTTGGCAATAAAAGTCGTTTTACATTATTAAACATGACTAATTCCAGTCGCCATATTTTATTTTATGGGAACGAGTAGATAAATGTTTTTAAAAAAGCAACGAACAGTAGGAAGAATCCATCGTGTTGTTATGATTATGCTGGTAGAACTTATGTAGCTTGCTCTCAGCAGACCTCGTTGTTTATTGACTGCTACGGAGGACCCAGTGTTGTGATAGGTGAACATTCGGACGAAAAAGCTTGAAAACATGACCTCACTGGCGCAATAGCTACACACATCAAGGACATCGTCTTCCTCTGCCAGTATTAGTGATAACTTGGCAGCGTTGCAACGGGTCGAATGCAATATTAGGCTGTAATATATCGAAATTTTCTGCCATTGCACGCGGTTTAAAGCAGATCGCCAGCTCGATAAGCCATCAATCGAATCATTCCAAGTATTGAGCATTATCAGATACCCTGAAAATGCTTTAATGGCTGAACAATGAGAATCGATTGTTTTCCTCAGTGGTTACTAACCCGAACCACTAACAGCTTAGTAAGTATTATTGATACTAATTTATTCATGTATACTTTCATACGATTCCGCATACGCTTGGCTATGCCTTGTCGAGCCTCGCCACTTCTGATATAACTGTCCAATGATAGTCTCATAACTATACCAAGCCACCATCCAAATCATAACTGTTCAGTAGTTGAAAGAAAACGAACAGCTGCGACTACGGCGGCAAATACAAACACATACAACTAAAGGTAACTCATATGCCTTTACATTCTGACCGTTTCACGCTGAAGTGGCATAGAGCGCAGCCACATGTATGTATTATAGAAACGTCAAGCCATAGAAACAAGGTAGCGGACGTCCCGTTAATTCGCGATTTATCGCTTTGTGAATTCAGGAGTTCACAGAAGGAAATGGCCTAAGAGCATAGTAGTTAAACGCGTAATTATGAAATGATAACATAAATATTCAAGGAAATATAAATGTATTGGTTGAGATGACTGTGGAAAATTGAAACTGGCTTGCTCCTCTGTCTAAACTCACTTCTGTTCCAATAATTAGACGTCTATTAATACGGAAGCTAAATGAACTGGCATTAATCAATGAGAATACCTTGATGCGCTAAAACGGCTACTTTGAATCACCCCATAAAAGTTCACTTAAAACGCATTGGGAGCTGAATAGTTGCTTTAGATGATGACGATGGCTTGCCTACCATAATGCACCTGTGACGCATCGCGAAAATCTGTCGAGCCAAGGCTGAATTGGGCATGAATGGGTCATTCATCAGTCCGTGATGGATTTCGTCCAGTACAACGTTCGCATCATGATGGTCCGAATCTCATCTTTTTTTTAACTCATCAGCTTAATTCTTTATTCCGTTTTTGATTGACCTTTTCGAATGTGTTCTTGTCGATGAGCCATCGGTCGATGTCAACTCGTCCGAAGTCAAAAACGAATCCCACTGTCAGATTAACGGAAACTGCCAATAGACATATTTTAGATACATCACATTTTGCTGTAAGTCTCACGTCTTGCTAAGCGTAACTCTGTAGCCAGTTTCGCAAAAAAGAATCACTCAAGGCCTCATACAGTTTACCCATTAAACTATTTACATGCCATCATTGATTGAGGCGCCCTCTATGCTGAGTTCCATGCGACACTTCACGTATCATTGTACTTTCATTAGCCACGCGACATAGGTGATTGGTGCTAGCGTTTCACCTATTTATAACTCCACCTGTCGTGTAAGATATGGTCGTATGTCAATTTTTCCACCTAGCTCTGGCAAGTTCAAAATTAAGAGCTGAACATCTATAACTTTCACCTTCGAAACGCAACCTACGAGTATGAAGGCGAATTTCAGATTCCTGTAAACAATTTTCACATGATCAGCTCGGATCGAACTTGGATCGGTATAATATCTGTCAATACCTGCTAGTTCATAGATTGGCCTTTACGAAAAACATAACACCAAACAATATTGCATAATTAATAGACATTCATTAAGCGTAGAAAAACTAATAGCATGAGTACCTTTTACGCTATGTGCGCTATTCAGAATGTTCCGTAAACGCAAATACTTCGGTATCCAGAAACGATTGCAGTTCTGTGCAATTGAATAGCGTTTTTAGCTTGAGACACATTAAATGGTATGTATCTCGTAAGACAGGCGTATTGCTCTAAATAAATGCACGCATTTCAACTCATACGTTTAGCTGTAGCAATCTGTGTCTGTATATTTCTACATCAATTCTGAAGTAATTCAATTGTAAGCAATGGCCGGTCAGACTTTAAACTTCAGACGGGGCTCTTTGATTTCACAATTAGGGAGATGACGAGCACTTTCAAGCAACAGTATTTTTAATTTGAGGGCAGTATAAATAATTACAATATCACGGGTCTTCTGAACGGACGCGATGAATAGGTTGAGACGTATGTCAAGAAAAGATGCAGGGCAGCAAGTCAAATTGATCCAAACAGGGTGGTGTCGGAATATTGAGGAGAATGGACGTCTCCCCTTCCATACTTCTTCGTGATACCTTTCCAGTTTCTAAAAGGCACGCGGTGTGTTGAAGATTTCTATTGTAAGAATCAGCTCAAAATTGCCACAATTAAAAATGCGACTATAAAGCTTAGTAATTGCATAGAGTTATTCTTCACGTTAAGCTTCGTTTAAAAGTCGAGCTTAACAGGGCTAAACAGCAATTCCAGTAAAAGGGAAAGCCGATGTATACTAAAACAACTGGTTCCGTCTAATTTGTAAACTGGTAGCATCACAATCCGTCTGAAGGGAGTCTTTGCTGGATGCGCCGATAGTTAAAGCCACAGGCAGCTTTATTTAGGACCACCTCAGAGAGGATAACGCCTCATGAGCTAAAATAATACGACCCTTGGCCGATTTAATAACCGGTACTCTCTGGATTGATGGGGTTTCGTTGGTGGTCTTTGCTGCGAAGAGCAGCGGTTATTGGCAACCTTGTGAGCATGTGGTTCATAAACGGTCTGACAGAACAACTGCGTAACGCGAAAAATACACGTCTAATTAAAATTATAGCTGATTGCTATGGTTTGCGACAAAAATGGCAACTGCGTATTTGAAAAAAAATGTGCAATGCGAGGGGTGCGAATAGCTGTTTACATATTTATAGAAATGTGACTACATTAGATTGTTCAAGGTGTTTTCATTTTAGGCAAAGCCACTGCACAAACTACAAAACGACGTTTATATCACATCTCTGGAAGCTATATATAATATGGAGATAATATAATTGTTGTTAACTTGAGGTACAACATAACGTTCGATCACATAATGACAGTTTCTATGAAATAATTGCATTTCACGAAGCCCATGATCAGCATCATCATGATTGTTATCGTCGTCATTATAATTGCACCCTTAACATTTGGTCAGCGTTAACTCTATTTTTTGGATTGACCAAAGACGTCAAACGAGATACTGTATTCTTCTCTATCAACGATGGAAAAGTACTCTATAGGTACTCTGATGTGCTTTTTGAGATATAGGGTGCGAAAGAAGGTGCAATAGTTTGTCTGTGTAGCTATTAATAAATACGCATCAAGCTCGAGCAGAAGACTCAATCTCGATTAAAAAGAAAGATTTTGCCTTGACCTAATAGACTGCGTATTGCATCTAAGGATAGTTTATTGTGTACCGAATGCTATACTAATGCTCTCAGACAGTTACTTTATGACTACGCCATGTCAAATAGAGCATTTAGCTTGTCCAGCATGCGTCAAGGTCATCGAGCGTTGAATACATATATTCTAAGGACTAACTAGGTACATTATAATAACAACGATATGTGTTGTAACTAAACAAGGAAAACTAAAACGTTCTACTGAAGTTAGGAAATTGCTTAGGTGATCTTAGGGGTATAATGAAAAAAAGTAAGCCAATTAGTTTGACAGCGGTAAGCTTTGTATGGCTAAAACTCAATAGAATCGATAAGTAACGAGGATAACCATTGCCGGTGTTTGAGGCAACTGAGTTAGGAAGCAGTTAACAATCGTTCGGTTATTCAGTCAAGTAAGAGACTTTGATTATACGTTTAGGCGAACTTAAATTTTGCTTAAATGTATTTGAGTGCTTCATTTCGCTGTTGTTATTTTTTTAAGAAAATTTATACGAATAATTGTGCTCAGACACAATTACCAATTATAAAAAACGACACCCTTGATTTCGTCATTATGCCCCATGAGTAGACCCGTGTGAAATTCATGTTTACTTTTTAGCATTTTCGCTAATGACAAGTTAAATTTGAAATTGGGAATTATCTTTACTGTGTTCTAGCGCTCGCATCAATTATCACAGCTGCGCTCGTCAATTGGAACTAATGTCGTAAGCCGATATCTTCTTAAATACAGTAGTTCTCCCTTTCGTCAAGTCAATAGCACATCAGCAGTCTGACCCAGTTCTGACTGGGGACACCCATTTCGAGTCGGGCCTATCTTCCGGATGTTATCGAACTGTCTTCACCGCCTCTGCTAGGACCCATGATGACAACAGACATTCCTGCATCTTGTTTTCTGCTAACTCTATTGATAATGCAAATTTTGCAATAAGTGTATTTTTTTTTCTTTAACTGTTTCAAACGATATTTTGTCCCACGGCTTTAGCAGTACTTCAAGCGCGACCTTTCAATAGCCACCGTTCACACACGTTGCCAAAGAGAAACGGCAGGTAATACTTTGCGTAAATCACTTTTCAAGATCAGCAAATTAAACTGGTTATGAGCTTCGCAACAGATATCAGTGGTTTTCATCCCTGTGATCGTTCCCGTTTCTGGATTACCTGCATCGTCCATTCGGACCGTATTCAATGAGACATGAGACAACGTTAAGCATAGATAGTGCATGACAAAGCTCTACGATACAACGTCGTTAACAAATACCATATATGATTGCTTCATGAGCCTTCGAGCAAATATCACATAATTCTAATACTGTGAATTTACGGTTTCAGCAGCATTTCACTGTGGCCGATTTGCATGTGCGTTATAAACAGAAACAATTTGCCTTTCGCTCAGGCTCACTGTCAAACACAAATATGAGTCATACACTTCAATATGAACTTACAGCTGATGACATGTTGACGGTACTGTATGAGATATGACTAGCTTCGAACGCGGGAGTGCGCCGTCTCCTCACTGACACTACTGCTGGTTTTGCTCTTGTTATGATTATATGATTGCCGTCAGACGAAGCAACTTGACGAAAGAGGGAGCCACCTGTTTGCTTTACCTTCTTCGTCTCGCTAGATCCTCTCCGCTTCGACCTTTCGTCATTCGTTTCCAAATCGATCCTTGTCTCTGACAAAGGGCCGCTTAAACGAGAAAAACCTAGATGACTAAATAATTAGGATTCCCAAAGTTCAGCGGTCCGTACCACACACTGAGTATACGTATGAGATTATTCACCGAATGCCAACATTGAACGGTACGCCGTTATTGCATATGAATGCAAAAAGCAATACAAAAGGCATACAGTCCGCTCGCTTACTTCAACAAAGATGATCTTCCTTCTTGAATCCAGAAAAATAGAACACCACGTACTATTAGCGGCGTAGATACATAAATACACGGTAACGAGCAACCAGCGAGGGCATACGTTTTCGAAATTAGCTTCAGTACGTTTGACCGAGTCACTACCATACCAGTCCTCCGGATATAGCCACGTACGTCTTACTTCTCCGTTGCTTTAACCGTCCTCCTGCGAGCGATACGGGGATACTATTCGATTGCAGTAGAATGATGGTTGTAGATTATTTGTAACAGTGATAACAACAGGAACAGCGGCGGAACGAGGCTCATCAGTGGTGGAGAGGCAATCTGGCGAGTGCGGACCAGCAACAATACGCCTTTTTCTCGGACGTCAGCCGACCTGCTAACAATAATAGTAGAATTAAATGATGGCCAGCCAAAGCGTTCCTGTTATAACGATTGTGGTAATGACTGTAATGATGATGGCGATGATCATGGCGGCAGTGACAGCGGCGGCGCTCCATGTTGCGCTGATGGCGATGACGGCACGGGGGCTACCAACAGACATCGTTGCAGTATGATAACATTCTACTTGATGTTTAACCCATGTCAGAACGGTGCCCCTCCACTGGCAAAAGGCAAATGCTGCCGCTCTAGGTATTGTACCTAGAGCAATAAAAACGTCGACGATAGAGATTAAAATTATCCTTTTTATTAGGCCGGTTAGGGGAAGGCTTCTGCTTATGCTGACAGATGTTTGGAAAGGTAAAATAGCGTTTTTCAATAAGATGCTTGATTATTAGATTGGTTGAAAAGATTGACCCCATATATGAGACAGGATTAAGCAATGATGAGTTGCCGAAGGTCAATACGAAAATGACTCAGAAGGAAACAGGTTCATTAACATGCACCCATTTATTATCAACCGATCGACGGCACAGAGGCAAAGCGAGGGAACTACTGAAAGAGACTAATGCATGATAGTTTACAGAAAACAAAATTAAAAAAAGGTATTAATGTTAATAATAACAGCGAGTGCATTATAGCTAAGGTTCCAAAGCATCGCGAGTGGTTTTGAGTACACCAGTTCTAACACGTCTCTGTGTCACGACAGAAACGCTACATACATATTATTGCATGGTTAAAGCTATCTTGATTATGCTTTTTCAACCCTCTATCAATTCGACATGGTGATCCGTTCGTACATTGCCTTTCTGACAAAATAAAAAAATTAACTACTTGGCAACTGTCTGAAGATATTTTTAAGCTCAAGTTTACGCAACAAAGATCCTACGTTTTTAGAGCCCCGCCACAGAAATGGCGTCAGATCATGTTCAAGTCGAGACTTCTGCTTCAGTTTTTGCAAATTCGTTTACTGTCAAAGATCCAACAGCAATATTTGTTTTGCTTGCAGAACCAATAGAATGGCAGAATTTTTTTTTACCTAATTTTGTAGGCTAATCAAAGCGGGAGTACACTGAAAAGCTGATGCCAAGAACAGCTTTGTACAAAAATAATAGCTGGAGCGTTAGCAAATTCAAATAGATAGTTAATCACGAACTTTCTGTCTAGGCCAAGAGGAAAAAATGTCAGGCAAGTACCCTGTGCGCTTCTTGTGAACGTTTGTAGTGGATCCCATACTTTTTCCTATTTGAGAGCATATTATCTACGCCAACCACGCATTTATCCCATATAAAAATCAGCCACGCACAACAATCAAAGTCACAAGCGAGAAGAACATGCAAAATGTATGGAGATAGGTGAGTTAAAATCATAGAGTTTGTCGCCAGCGTTATCCCGATCTAACAGCTAACTATACTGAATACCTGCAAATTTGTCAATTAATTTATTTTCTAATACCTACAACATCCAACCTGAACAATTCAGCAGAAATCTGAAATCATTTGATTTCGCTTTGTTCAACAAAACTGCGCCAACAATATAGCTACGTAAGGAAAATTACGCTAAAGATGGCGCGCAATCTCCTAACTTGCGCCGGTTCCACAAAAGTATAGACGAAGCGGCGTTATTTTGAACAAACCAATATCGGATGACGTCAAGTTGGCCCAAATGCCTCTCGAATATCTGGACAGGTGCATGCCTAGACATTGCTCGAGACGTTTCAGCATTTGTTAAACATGGTCATGCTGTCTATCCAGCAAAGGCAATCATATGTCCATGGAAAAAATCGAGAGAATCGTATAACGCTGAAAATAATCAACTCCGGAAAGTTGTGGATAGGGAGATTTAAAATGTATACATCGGGAAAATTTACTGCGTGCGTTATAACTTGCAGATACTAAGTATAGGTAGCTGGTTGAAGATGGAAAATTTAAATGTACAAATTTGCATTCATCCGACATCGCTGCAACTTAGAACTCGGTCGATTGATATTGTATCTGGTTATTGATAAATGTAAATTTGTTTAACTCTACAAATATTCCATTGCTGTAGGCAGATAAAAAAAACATCTGTATTTCTCACAAATTTCTTTTTTTCCAAAATGGATTCCTTTTGCGTTCTAATGATGAGACTTTTTTTAGCGGTTTTGGCTTATCTTTGAATATATATTGTGCTCATTGAACAACATAATTGCAGTTGTTTGAAACTCGTTACACCGTTTTGTTCTCATAGTTTCCAAATCCGAATACAGTCGTCTATCATACCACATTGGCCGACGCGGAAGAAGTAACTGAGATGAGAATAAGGATAGTTTCATAGATTTCGAATCTTGTTGACTTGATCACTGCATCAATAAATAGGTGCCGAGCCCCGCTAACGATACGTACGACAATACAGAGGTTATGTGAATAAAACAAATCACTAATTTTGGGTAAAATATACCTTATTGAATAATCGTTATGTTAATTATTACTAAAAGAAACAAGTTTGTTTTGATGATATTAAATTGCGGTCGTACTACGAACTATTGACACATGTAACAGTTTACTATAGGTAAAGTTGCATCCCATGTTGCATTAGCTTTTGGGACGGCAATGTGTCAAAACAGAGTAAATACTTTGTGAACCCGAGTGGTATCGAAGTACCTCATCAACCAGATCTTAGATCGACCCAGCTTATGGCGCATCGAAAGCAGTTAATTAAATTTATGACGGTACCCGATGCTGTAAACGACAATAAATAAATAATAATAAAAATAAACCACACAGAAACACAGGACGAGAGAGAGGGTCGAAGGTTTTTTTAAATGCTTAAAGTAATATTAACTAACTAAAGCTCTGGTCAAGTTTCAAATCTTGCCAAGGGCATAGAATATCGACTATACTAACAAAGTTCAAGACTATTTGACTGTGCAGTGACTCTGTACAATTAAGGTACTAAATGCAGAATCATGTCGGAAGGGTGTAGTCGTACTTACGAGTTTACTCACCCTTTGCATGGGGGGAAAGTTTAGGGTCCAGCTGTAAGATGTTTCCAGCAACGCGCTCTGCGAGAATTCGCAATGATTTTCACAAGTGCCTCATTGAACTTTTGTAGTGTATACCAAATCCCATGACGCTCGTAGGGAATTTAAACTACAGCAAATTGAGGCAAATGTAAAAAAATTGCGTAATCTGGGGTTTTTTTTACAATATTACACAGAGTTGGAAACGGATCTTTCTGGAAGCAATTGTTTAGGCCACCTCATGTCTTTATTGCGATGTCATGACGTATGCTTAATTATCAAGCTCCATTCTGCATGTTCAACTACTCATCATTATATCTGCCAGTCGGGTCGGAGCATTTTACAGACAGGTTTATATTTCAAGAATTGAACGGAGTAAAGTCCGCGACGACTAGCAGAAGCTCTACTACATAGCCTTGTTATTAAACACTTATAGCTCATTAGGGTTTTGAATTTATTCCTATATATGAAACTAAGCCTAAGTCTAGAAGGCATCCCAGCGTTTGGCGTTTCAAATGTTCTAAAAGCCCTTTCACATTTAGGCGTTTACTCAGGGGCTGTTGAAGCAGCTCTAGCTATATTTTGCCTAGCATGTATTATATGCAGTAAAACGATTTTCATTGATCTTCGGTTTTTATACCTTCGGAATATCAATTCAATCACACTAGGTCACCAGCTTAAGTTTAATAAATACCTACCCATCCCTTTGCATTCCATAAGGCCATTTGTTTTCTCCCTCACAACCATAGTCATCTTTACTAGTCCGAAGCGCTAGAGCACTCGAATTGTTGGCGCGGGCAGCGCCCCCAACCCCGGGGTCAGCTGCGGTGGCGCCACCTGGCGTTCCGCTCCATCCAATCTAGTTCATCTAAGACTCAGTGTCCCTCGCTTATATCAGGGGTTAGAGGCGTCGTGTGGGCAGTTGCTCAGCCATAGTTCAGACCCATAGCCTCCTTCCGCTTCCCCAACAGTTTTCCCTCCCGCTTGCCATCGGTCGGTCAGGAAGCCGCGTAGGTCCGCAACGGGACGCCAAGTCCGCCGCAGAGGACTCTGTACAGCCGCCCGGCCCACTCAGCCAACCAACAGCTGCGACAGTTGCAACTGCGTTAAGAATTTGCGTCTAAAGCCAGTGCCATCCAGCACCCCCTAGCAACTCTATTGCCGTGGAACTAGACTAACTAACGAACCAGCCAACGAGCTGCCTGCGAAGTTTGTGCTCTTTGGGAAAGATCAGTGGCCAGAGCCCCCAGCACTCTAGGCGTATACAGTCAGCCTCAATACCCCGTGAGACAAACACTATGGTAGTGAAAAAATCAAAGCATCATAGCTACATAACTATTCGATTGTAAAACATTACATAT